GCTGCACTGTGTTCCGTGTATAACAGTGTGATAACAGGCACCACACCGCCGTCCACCTGGCAACCATAGAGTAATATTACTCTATGCGTCCATCACCCACGGGCACGGTTTAAGATATATATATATATATATCTTAAACCGTGCCCACGGGGTTAATATCACAGAATAGATTATATAAAATATTAATAATAATAATTACAATACATTTTTTTATATAATCTGTGATATGACCATGTTCTAATGATATGATCATTATTATACTTATTAATTTATTATAGACTTGGAAATCAATGGACAAAGGGGTAAGCAGAGTAATCAACAACAACAAAACACGAATGGATATTCGCAGAAAAAAAACTCCGGATCCATGACCGTCATTAGTTAGTCTTATCAATATTGTACTTATCAAATGTTATGGTGATTAAATGCGCCGTGATTTATTTAATATTTTAATTTGTCATAGACAGATTACGAGTTAATGACGGCGGGGGCAAAATAAAATAAATAATAATTTAAATTTAAATATTTACAGTGCAGTTATTATATTTAATAACAAATGGAATATTTATTTATTTTCTTATTTAGTATATACCTATATCTACTATTATAACTTAGTTATTATATTATTTGCACGTTTTTTAAATAATATATTATTGGTACAAAAAATATGAAAATATAAAAATTATGATTGTAATTATGGTGGTTTGCTCATTTATGATAGCATTTGTATAATTATTGAGAGGCTTGAATTCTGTTGGTATTTTAGACTTTGGCGAATCCTATGAGTTGAATTTAATATAGGTACTATAATTGTATTGTATTCAATTAATTTTATATATAACTTTATTATTAATATTAATTAATTTACGGAATAAAATTTAGTTCCTTATTTAGTTCAGCACACAACAATTATCAGCAATTTAATATAATTAACATAAACAAGGGATACAATATAGGTACAATATAGATGCAATAAGCAGTGGAGTACCGGGTAGGGGGGTTCCCCACCAAATAAAATATGAATAATGATTTTGTTTACTCACATTGTACATTTACTTTTTAGTACGCAAGTACGTCGTTATGAAAAAATCGTATGGTAATAATATGGTAACCCCCCTGAAAAAATCTAAAATTGCCCGACAACCTCTTCGAAGCGCTCAGCCCTACCTATGACAACACCAGCAAAATAATTACATTTTTAAAACAAATTGATATGTATAATCTAATTTAAGAACCTATTGTATAACCATATTTTGATATGTAGGTACTAAATACTAATTTTGTTACAAGCTAATAACCTTAGCAGTTGAAGCTGTACCATGAATAAAAAAAAAAAAAATTTATTATCTAATCCGAAAACGGATAAGATAGCGATAATATTATGGTATGTTATCGATATAAGTTCAACGTTTAAATGTTTTCCATACATAAAAATCTAAAATCCATATATAATATAGATTGGTGAATTTAGTTCATTCCAGCCGATTGTATAGTGAACTTTAGTATCACTATTATTGAAAAGTGCTAATCAAAAATTGAATTAAAAATTGAATTGTTTAATATAAAATCTTAAAGAGATCGAGATTTACTAGTTATTGATAATTTTATTCATCGAGTGGACAGAATATAATAATATAATATAATATAATATAATATAATATAATATAATAANTCTATTGTGAGCATTGATGCTACTAAGATAATTCTAAAAGAATTTAATAAATGGAAATTTGGTGTCGAAGGAAGGGTGCCAGTATGTAAAACAAACATCTCAAAAACATAGTAGAGATAAAGAATATATATATACTACTTTTGTCAAAGATCTTTTAATTCAAGGACTACTAATAATGTAAGAAATTTAAATTAATTCATACAATATGTAAAAAAATAAATATCAATGATATTAAATACTTAGGTAATAAAATAGGGTAAAAAAAGTTCAAAACGTGGAGGGTCTGTAAAAACTGGGTATGTATGCCCATCAAATATAGTAGTACAATTATTGGTTAGTAAGTTCTGAAAAAGATAATAATATTAAATATAAAGTGGAAAAGAGTTACTCATCATGTAGTTTTGAATGTGGTATACGCTGTGATATGTGTCATATTTGTATACATTCTTACTAATGTACTGGCTTGAATAATGTTATTAACTATAACATTTGTAAACACATTCATACATACACTACAACCAGTGGCGGCGTGAACTATTTTATTTCATGAGGCAAATATAGAAGCTAGTCGCTAGTGGTTAACCACCACCACCTAAATTAAAAAAATAGTTATTCACGCCGCCACACTGACTACAACACCAAGTGAACCAAACCTAAAGTGACCAGACGTCCCGATTTTGGCGGGACAGTACCGATTTTCAAGTAGGTGTCCCGCTAAATATTATGATCAAAGCGGGACAGAAAACTGTACCGACTTATACTTTTCGWCCCTAATTGTTCAGAATTTTATAATTTTTTGAAAAAATTCTCCTATATTGCTCAAAAGCTATTACATCAAATGATAAATACCATTCTCATAAATAATAAAATATACTATTATTATTATTATTATTATATTACTTTTAATGTTACTTGTGTACAGGCGCGTAGCTGGATATTTCTAAGGCCCCCCCCCCCGGTTTTTTTCAAAATTAATTGAAAATTATACACACAAAATTGATAACTTTACGTAGGTATATTTAAATTTTAAATTTTTCACATACATATTATTATAATTAATAAAAAAAATAAAAAAAGGCGGGTAAGTCGTGGATGTCGCTTTGCTGTACAGTAGGTTACAAGAAGGTTACTGTAATGGATGGAATTAAATTTGAATCCAATGATATAATTATATCATTGTATACGAAAAACGATTCTGAGCG